ACGAGGGATTACGGATATAGGCATGTAGATATGAAATAATGTAGTAAGGCTTATATTGTACTGTTTATACTTTTGATCTGTACGAACATGACATCCCGAGTCTTTTAATGAAATACATTTCTATGGAAATGCTTTTGATAAATCTTTATCATATTATTGTTTTGGGACAAATTCTGCAACCCTTTTATTAAAAGATAACTCTGATTTTGAAATAAAGTATAAACAAAACCGGTCTTTTCTGGCCGTGATTTTGGGGATGTCACACAAATAACAACCAAAACCATCCAACATAAAATCATCTTAAAGAATCATTAAACTAAAAGCATAATTAATTTATTACCATTAAAATTTTAGACTTGACTGCAATTTCACCAAGGATTGTAACACTTACTTTTTATCCATTTATCACTGATGTGGGGTGCATCTTGTTTTTAACAAGATCATTTGCTCTTTGAAATGTTATCAAAACAATAGATTAATAAGAATTTTCTATCAAGATTCTAGTACATTTGCCAAAACAAAGATGAATGAACTAGGGTACAATACCTTTTGTAATTATATATTTATGCAATCTACTACTTCTTGATTTTGAAGCTCGGCAATTCAACAATAACATATTTAATTAGAAAAAAGTACCAGACTCAAAAAATTTGTAAAGTAACAAACTCATAATAACATGTATCGAACTTACTGATTCATAATCGGAATCACACAAACAAATGAAATCACTGATTCACAGATAAATTACAAAAATGAAAATAAAAATCTAAAATCGCAGACAACTTACAAGAAAGAACCCAGGTGATTGATTATATTACCTGAAGGGATCGAACAGAGGTGTGAGCGTCTGAGGGGAGCGACACCGGAGATGTGAGCAACTAGTAGGAGCGAAACCGAAGATGTGAGCGACTGAGGTTAACGACGGTGTGGAGGTGTGAGCGACTGAGGTGAGTAATAGTTGATGGCGATTGGAGACGATGATGACGATTGTAGAGGAGACATAAGAGCAACGTGCGAGACAAAAAGCAATGTGCAGGTGCGACGCAAAAGAGAACGACAGTGATTTTGCTCCGGTGGTGGTGTTCTTAAGCAGAGAGTAATGTGTCGATCTAGATAAGGACCATTAGTCTGTGTGTTGGAAATAATTAGAGACGAGAAATGGAATTAGGGTTAGTGGGGTAGGGTTTTAATAGGTAAATCCATCAATTGTTAATTTTGGATATTAATTAATGCACATGTGTAATATTACTATTGTATGCATATTAATTTAATTAATGATTCAGTTATTCCTAAATTCTTATTAGTTCATACATGTACACAATAATTGTAAGAAATATTTGAATATCTCTCTCTCTCTCTCTCTTTCTCTCTCTCTCTCTCTCTCTATATATATATATATATATATATATATATATATATATATATATTCTTGATTTTTCAATGTTTATTTAATGTGTGGAGTAGAAAAAGAAAGATATGTCAAAGCTATAAATGAAGCTATAATAAATTGTTTACAAAGTATGAAAATTTTAATGGAATATTTTTAAAACTATTAGGTGTAGACAACATGTTATTGCATGTTATCACATTTAAAATATGTCACATCATTATCATACTTTTACATTGGTGTTATAACACAGAATTTGGAAATGAGCAACACCAAATATCATATGATAACACCATTTATTTTCTATTTTTTTTTTTTTTTTTTTTTGAGTTTTCAATTTCTATTTTTCCAAGCTGTTATATTTTTTGTTTTTTTATTTACGTCATAATATTTATATAAAACATATAAATTAATAACACATCTAATTTAACTAAATCATAAATTAAAAATAACATTTAAAAACTAAAAATAAAATTTTAATAAATCTTAAATAAAACATACTACTTGTGTATTGGCATTTTCACACCACATGACAAGTTCTACATATCACTTTGTGCAATAAATACTTCCAAGCATATCTGGAAAACCATGTCGTTGTTCATACGCCAAATATAGTTGTTACATATCATTAATGAATGTTTGCACAAGTATTTTTCACTGAATGTTTCGACAACACATCTCGCCAATCTATACAAAGTTTCTCGTGCAATTCGTTTCGACATTCTCATATAATCGTCAATAGAATCGGAAGACTCCTCCATAACTATAAGCTTGATTGCAGCATTATATTTTTGCAACTCTATGAAACCTCTCTTACCACTTGTATCATAGCTCATTTGGAAAATGCATACCTAAACATATATTTAATTGATAAAAAAAAAAGTGTGTTTATTTTTATCTAAACACTGTATTTACGATACTTGTTTTCTAATGCATTAACTATCCGTTCAAACATATTTTTTCGCAAACGAAACATTCTTTTAATATCGCTAGGTTGGTAGACATGATTATCTGCAAAATAATCGTTTATTAGACATTTATGGTCTTCTTCACGATTTCTGTTTAACGTTGCACGTCGTATGAGCACTGGAGCTGGATCGTGTTGTAGTAGCACGTATGTAGAATACCGGTATATCATAGTCACAAAGATATCGTTTTCGTCGTTATCATCATTGAATGGATGGAACGGATCAAACAAATCCATTTTTTTGTTTTGAATTAATAGTTTATTTAAAATAAAAAGGAAGAAAAGAAAGCGAAATCAAGAGAAATAAATAGTATGTAGGTAAAAATTAAGAATAATATGTGTATATATAGTAGAGTTAAAATGGAAAAAAAAAATTAGTATGTACCATTTAACAGCATTCTAAAATTTGACCATTTTGAAAATGCAAGCCAAATACCATTGTGCCTCCTGTTTCCACAATAACAGACGATGTTGCAACGTCGAAAATGCCAAGGGAGGTTGTGTACAAGACGTTATAACAACGTTTTTTGGGTGCTAGGTCGGAATAACATGGTAGGACGTTGTTCATACTCGATAGTCTAGTGTACTGCAAATATTACAATATTTATGTTTATTTTTAGTGTAATGGTTAGAGTTGACGTAATACCAATAAAAATATAAGTTAGCATATAAAAAATCAAAACAAATCTTGAATTTATTTATTTATTATTATATTTTCAAACTAATGATATTAGAAGTTAAATTCACCAATGCCTCTAGTGCCCCTATATGCATAGACTCCGGCCCCCCAAATGCCAATTTTCGTGTTTTCGCCACTCGCTTAACAACTTGATAAGACTAGTGGGTATGGTTTCACACTTCTCACAGTCCACGTAGGCGCCACATTATTTTTGTCACATTTTAGCCAAAATTTATCATTTGCTAGGCACAGGTTGCCACACTTGTCATTCTAAATATATATTTTCTTTAATTAATTTAGAAAATAAATATTGCAAAAATATTATTTCTTAAAAAACTTAAATTCCATTAAAAAAACATAAAATATTATTATTAAAAACATCACACTAGAAATTCAAAAAAAAACATAGAAATTCAAAAAAAAATTATAAATATCAGAAGACCACTAGAAATTCGGAACATCAAATTAGAAATTCAAACACACAACCCACTAAAAATTAAAAGACAAAGACTTCAAATTTGACATCATTTGGGGGTTCTGTCTCACAATTTGACAAAACTCAATAAACTTGAAATCTTTGTCATTTTCAACATGGTAAGTCTCAAGAGCATTCTCTAGCAAGGTGTTTTCGTTTTCACCATTTCTGTCATCATACATCACTCTCCAAACACAATGGTAAACAAAGTTGCAAGTGCGTGTGCGTTTCTCCATTAGACGTTGAGTAGATCTTTTCTTTAAGGTTGAAATGATTGACGGTTGTATATGTCGGCATCTCAACTTTAAAAGTAGCAAAAATGTAGTCATTGTGGTGTGGATCTTTTGCTACATCAATCCATAAACGAACGAGTAAGATCTTTTCTTCCGTCGACCAAACAATAATCATTTTTAGCGATGAGGTGTAGAAAATGATGGAAAAATATGAAAGTTAGGAGAATAAAATTAATAAGATTTGAATTGGGTGAATAATGAATAAACATGAGTGTATTTAAAGTTGAAGATCGGGGGTTTATTATTTAAAATTTAAAAAAAAAATAGTTATATTTTTTATATTGGACATTACTTTTTCGAAAGAATGTAATTTTTGAAAAATAAGTTTAAGTAATAAATGAGTTAAAAGAAAAAAATATCTCATCAGTTAACCATCGCTAAGTTGCCAAGCCTAGCTCTGCGTATCTAGGCCTCGACCCAACGTTCGTCGAGGTGAGCCGAGTCGACACCCACTAGCCTAATCGAATAATATTTTTAGGTTTGTGTTATGGTTGTGTTTGGCGCGCCACAGCTAGCTGATAAGCTAGCTTATTTTTCGAGCTTTTTTATGTTGTCGTGTTTGGTAAGCCAAAAAGTAGCTTATAAGCTAACGTTTTGAAAAGCTACTTAGACTAGTTTTTTATGAGTTTTTTTAAAAATTTTCAAATACACCCCTTAATTAATTATAGAAACATATATTCTTACATGTTCTTTTATGTAATTATATATATTTCAGCTAGCTTTACCAAACGTTATTTTTTATCAGTTAATTTTTCAACTATCAGCTAGTTTTTTATTTAACAGCTAGCTTTTCAACCATCAGCTAGCTTTTCAGCTAGTCCGTCAAACATAACCTACAAATACCACTCTTATCAATGTACCCCACTAACTATTAATTCAGCACAAAAGACAAAAAATCAAAATCACATGGTGGAATTAAAAATAAAAAATAAAAAAAATAGTTCCCCAGTTTAAGAGGTTAAGTCCAATATACGGCACTCGAGGCGTTACGGTTACATGTTCCCTAGATTGGATTAATGGATATGGCATAGGGAAACAAATTTGGTATTATTTATTTTAAATGATATTTTATATCTTCGGACTTCAGGTGCTCCACAAAAGCCAATACAACAACCCTCTCACATCCGATTGTATGCTTCTACACAGTCCTATCGCAACCTATTACCTATGTATCATCCATCTCCTATCATAAGTTGTTGTTACGCTAATTTGCAACTAGAAAACTGGCCCACATCGTCTGAGGATAATGCGCCGCCATAATCCGCCATGATTCCAACCACAGTTTCGTGGCCTCCGACAACGGAACACCATCTTCGGACTCCAGGCAATATGGATCTCCTCCTGTTGTCTCGACATCAACCATTCCAAGTTTGACTCGGTTTTACTAAACCGCCCGGTTTAACCGTTTCTATCAATCCGGTTTTTATTTGTATTTTATCAAACAAGACAGCAATAAAGCATACTCGCTTGTTGAGGCGTGAATAACGTTCCATTCCATTTACACTCTAAACGACGCCGCTGGATACGCCGGCACAGGCACAGTGCCAGCGGACCCACATTTCCTTATAAAACCGACCCCTTGTCCTCCGTCTGTAAAATTTAAACAACAAAAAGATCAGACAGAAACAAGAAATATGGTGATGAACATTGTCTTCTACATCTGTATACTCTTCCCAGTATTCCGTATCAAACACGAGTTGCTCAATTTATGCAAGGATTTCTTCTTCTACTTGTTTCCATGCGATCAATCTACTCCATACCCAACTCTCGTCGATCTTCCGGTTATCAGGTTCGAAGAGCTGCTGGACAGACGACAGAGATCCGTGGAAGAGATGTGCTTCATATGCTCTGTCGATTACCATCTCGATGACGTTGTTTGTCAGCTCAGCAGGTGTCGTCACGTCTACCACTCCGACTGCGTCGGTCAATTGCTTCACCGGAAACAGCTTTCTTGCCCCTTCTGCCATTCACCGATCTTCTCCGGCCTTTCACCGATCCATTGCAAAAGCTTTTGACTCGCGTCGTCGTATGGTTGTATGAAATCTGTGCTTATTCCGAATGCATAGTTTATGCAAGCTTTGTTTTTGTTGCAGTTAACATTCGATTGTATATATTTTTGTTTGAGTTTTTTTTTTAGCAAAAAGTAATGTTCAAAGATGAAAGATGAAAGTTGGTTGCCATATATATCTACTGTTCACTGTCATTTTCGGGTCTGCTTTGGGTCTTTTAGATTGATAGATTAAAGTTTGATGTTAGTTCTATCTATTGTTCCAAAGTTCAATGCCATTTTTTTGATGCTTCTGTGGGATTTTCTTCTCAAGATACAATTTAGTCTTCTTCAAGCTAGTAACATATCTATGGTTCATACATTATCATAAATGTTTTGGTTATGGTGCTGTTTTTTCCTTCTACCGAGTTAGTTTTTGTTTTCTTTTTTCGTGTGTAGTCGATCCAATTTCCTGGTGGCTGTTTTTTTTTGTTAATCTACAATATTATCTTTCCCTTTCAAAATTTTGTTTTTTTTATCTCTAATATTATCTACCTTTCAATTTTTTTTAACCAAATAATTGACCGAAAACTTATTTATTAGATAAATGCCAACCACAACTTAAACACAAAACACTAAAATGGTGTGAATGTAAGATGTAACACAAATGCAATACATACATTATAAAATAACATAAAAAACATATTTTTTATCTTCTCATTTGGATTAATTATTTTATATTATCAAAACCATGGTTTTCCACACATCGTTTTCAGCCCCACCTTTTCAACACAAAGTCAAGAAATCAATACCACCTATTCAATTTCTCATCTAATTTCTCCGGAAGGGTTGCTGTTCCAAAACCAGTTTTGTAACTTAGAGAAGGTTGATAATTTTTTTTTCCCTTGTGTTTGATAGTCATGCAAATTTGGCTAATTTAAATAGTAAATCTAGTTTTTTTTTGCACCCTGTTGGTTATTTTAATCTTAATATTTGCAGGTTTGGTTTATTTCAAGGTTTCAAATAACGTAAGGCGTGGCATGGCGGCAAGGTAAAGTTAAGCCATGACAAGCCTTGGCAAGCCATAACCTTTTTCAAGGTGTGACTATATTATATACATCAAAAGATATAAATCATATAATTATTGAATTTTATCAAATATATAAAGTTTTTAGAAGTGTTATATAAATATCTAATAGAAAAAAGTTAATAAAAACTCATTTATTTTAGACCCGATAAAAAAACAAAAGAAAAAAATCAAAAAAACCCGCGTCTTGAAAAAAACTCGCGCCATAATGCGATAAGGCGCGCCTTGACATGTTATTTGGGTGTCACGCTTCACAAATCCGCATTGGACGTTTTCGTAACGGCAACACCACGCCTTACGCCATGGCACGACATGAGGCGCGCCATGGCGTGCTTTTTAGAACCTTGGTTTATTTTGATATTTGTTTTAATTAGTGAATTAAATAAATGGTAGGCTAGGTCATAGGTTGAATGGGTCATTGGACCGGGTATTTTGGAGTCATTTAGATGGTTAGGATGTGGCTTGAAAATAGGAAAAGTGGGCTTAGTTTTGTTTAGAGTCCTTAGGTTTTTGTAGGCTATAAAAGCCATATATTTTCTAAATAAAATATATCTATGGTTCATACATTATCATAAATATATCTATTGTTTCGGTGTTCACTGTCATTTTCGGGTCTGCTTTGGGTCTTTTAGATCGATAGATTAAAGTTTGATGCTAGTTCTATCTATTGTTCCAAAGTTTAATGCCATTTTTTGATGCTTCTGTGGGATTTTCTTCTCAAGATACAATTAAGTCTTTTCTTCAAGCTAGTAATATATCTATGGTTCATACATTATCATACATATTTTGGTTATGGTGCTGTTTTTTCCTTCTATCGAGTTGTAGTTTTTGTTTTCTTTTATCCTGTTTAGTGGATCCAATTTCCAGCTGGCTGTTTTTTTGTTAATCTACAATATTATCTTTCCCTTTCAAAATTTTGTTTTTTTTATTTCTAATATTATCTCTCCCTTCCAATTTTTTTAACCAAATAATTGAGTGAAAACTTATTTATTAGATAAATGCCAACCACAACTTAAACATAGAACACTAAAATGGTGTGAATGTAAGATGTAACACAAATGTACATACACTATAAAATAACATTAAAAAACATATTTTTTTTATCTTCTTATTTAGATTAATTATTTTATAAAACCATGGTTTTCCACACATCGTTTTCAGCTCCACCTTTTCAACACAAAGTCAAGAAATCAATACCACCTATTCAATTTCTTATCTAATTTCTTCGGGTCCTACTAATTGGACATCAGATTTTCTTAGGGGACCTCTCATTAATGATTTTTTATGTAAAAATTTCCGTGTATTTATAATATCAATACTTTTTATGATTACTAAAGCTATTTTTTTTCCTAAAAGTATACGTGACGGTACATATATCTATAACGACCATTGTTTCAAGTATATACACAAGCATATATCAATCTGAAATAAAAATCTACACCCAAAAAATCTCATTCTTCCCTTTTATTTAAAAACAAAAAAAATAATTAAAATTTTTTATTTAAAATATTTTATTTTATAGATTTGAAAAAAAATAAATATATTTTTATTTTTATACTTTTTTATAAAAATGATATTTTTTTCTATAAACAAATCTTTATATTGAACCCTTTTATTATGTAATGATTAATTTTATTTAAAGTAAAATATAAAATAATCATGAGGGGTCCTTTAAAAATATAAAAAGTTAGAGTAATTAATAGGGTCCAGCTTTTGTAATGATTAGTTTATTTTAGGAAAAAAAATTAAAATAATTATTAATGTGTCCTTTAAGAATATAAAAATGATCAAAATAGATGGTCCCTTTCTCCGGCAAGGGTTGTTGTTCCAAAACCAGTTTTGTACCTTGGAGAAGGTTGATAATTTTTTTTTCCTTATGTTTGATAGTCATGTAAATTGGCTAATTAAATAGTAAATCTAGTTTCTTTTTGCACCCTGTTGGTTATTTTAATCTTAATCTTTGCAGGTTTGGTTTATTTTGATATTTGTTTCAATTAGTGAATTAAATAAATGGTAGACTCGGTCATAGGTTGAATGGGTCATTGGACCGGGTATTTTGGAGTCATTTAGATGGTTAGGATGTGGCTTGAAAATAGGAAACGTGGGCTTAGTTTTGTTTAGAGTCGTTAGGTTTTTGTAGGCTATAAAAGCCATATATTTTTTGAATTAAGATGAAGCCGTATTCAGTTTGTTTTCTTCTTCTTTGTATTTCTCAAGTATAAACCACCAAGAAAAGGGCCTGATATCCAACATTTGATATCAAAGCCTAGGGATCGTTTAGAAGAATCAGGTTTGAGAGTCGGTGTCGAGAGAGGAGGATCAACCCTTGATTGTAGGGCTGAGAACGAAAGAAGAAGACGATTGGGTGATTTCATGTGAGTCACATAAAGAATTGAAGATCGGCTGCTACAACAACGAAGGCTGTTAGAAAGAAAGAAAGAAGACAGAAGAAAAAAAGAAAGAAGAAGAAAGAAAGAAAGAAAGAAAGAAAGAAAGAAAGAAAGAAGAGAGAAGGAAAGAAGAAACAATGTTGCTAAAAAGAAAGAAAGAAGAAAGAAAAAAGAAAGCACGAAGGAACTGATGAAAGTCCACCGATGCTAACAAGAGACTACCAAGAGAAGACCGTGCGATCAAGACTGAAAGAGAAGCTTCAAAGAATTGGTGGCACCTAAACCGAAGACCATGGAGCCGCAAAAGAACGGGGCATCTCTAGACCGAGAAAGCAATTATTCAGTGAAGAAAGAAATGGAAGAACCGACTTCAAGGTGTTAAAGAAGTAGGATGTAGATTGTCAAGATTAGGGAGGTGAATGTTGGTTATTTTAATCTTGACAGGTTTGGTTTATTTTGATATTTGTTTTAATTAGTGAATTGAATAAATGGTAGGGTACGTCATAGGTTGAATGGGTCATTGGACCTGGTATTATGGAGTCATATAGATGGTTAGGATGTGGCTTGAAAACGGGAAACATGGGTTTAGTTTTGTTTAGAGTTGTTAGGTTTTTGTAGGCTATAAAGCCATCTATTTTCTTAATAAAGATGAAGCCATATTTAGTGTCTTTTCTTCTTCTTTGTATTTCTCAAGTATAAACCGCCAAGAAAAGGGCCTGATATCCAACACACCTAGCTTTTCATTGGCCTTAGGAAGTATGGAAAGTGAAGGGAGTAGTTTAATCCCTATTCTTGGCTGCAACATAAAAGAGGTTAGAGTGATTTCGGGTATGAACCCGAAACCTCTCAGATGGTTAAAGGGCTATTTTGGAGATCTTTTTGGACTCTAAAAGTGATTTTAGACAAAATTATTGACTTGTAGTGGTGGTAAAAGGAGTTTTTTAAAAAGTGTTTGGATTAGCTTTTATGGTGAAAAAGTCAATAAGTCAATTAGTTAAAAAGTGTTTGGCTTAAAAACTCATTTCTGAAGTTATTTTGGTTAAAAGACCATAAGTAGTTTCAAAAGCCATGTTTTACATGCTTTTCAAAAATAGCTTTTTGAAGCTAATAAAAAAAAGCTAATAGAGAAGCTATTTTGAAAAGTGCTTTTGAGTTTACCAAACATTTTTTTTACTTATTGACTTTTCAAAAAGCCAATAAGTCAATAAGTTTTTGAAAAACAATCCTGAACACCTCCTAAGTGAGTATGAGGTCTAGCTTATTAGGATTAGAAAGCAAAGAATAAGAGTAGGTAACTAAATCCGAGTTTTAGAGTTTAGAAGCTACCTCCAGTTGGCTTTGCATCCTCGTTTATATAGTTGCTTAGTTAGGGAAATTACTGTAACGTCCGTGTTTCTGGGCTAAGCATTAATGATGGTGTAATAGTCTAGTCAACCATTGGAACTCGTTTTGAAATACTAAGAATGAATTATGTGCTTTAAACTTAATTATTATAATTTAATA